TCCAGTGCTTCTTAGGATCCAGACACTGTCACCCTAACAAACATAACAAGCATGCTTCACAAAATTTGCAACATGATATGGAGGGAGAAAACTTGGCCAACCCAATGGATGAAATCAGTCATCATTCCCCTTCCTAAACAGGGGAATCTCCACCAATGCACAAAGCTTCAAATGGAAACCATGCTGGTAGAAAAGTAAGTTGGGTTTAGAGCATACAGAAATACCACAGAGCAAATCCTCAACATCCAAGTACTGTGTGAAGAGCACTGTGATCACAAAAAGAATGTCACCATACTTCATAGACTTCAAGAAAGCTTTTGATAGGTTGTGACACAAAGCACTTTGGCTCACTAAGAAGAAGCATACTATCAGCAGATCTCTGATAACACTAGTAGAAGAACTTCACAGCAATGCAAGTAGTGGAGTGCTGATCAACAATATTGTTGAATGTTTTGTGACTTCAATAGAAATGTGCCTACGTTGCTTGCTCTTACCTTGCCTTTTCAACCTCTTCCTTGAGCAAATCATGTCAGATACCTTAGAGAATTTCACAGGAACCATATCAGTTGGAGGGTGGAAGATCAAGAACCTGCGCTTTGCTTAACACATTGAACTGATAACAGGGACATCTGAAGAGCTTCAAGAACTTACAGAAATGCTAGACAAAACTGCAAAGAGCTACAAAATGGAAATAAGCACTAAGAAAAGCAGTCATGACAAATCCCAAGATCACTGACAGCAATGTTGATGTGAAGATCAGCAATGAAAAACTAGAAAGAGTAACAAGTTTTAAGTATTTGGGAGGCACCATCAGAGAAGACTTAACATCTGAAAAGGAAGTAAAGACCAGAATAGCCATTGCCACCAGCCAACTAAAAAAGTTAAAGAAAATCTGGACAAGCAGCAATATTACACAGAAGGTAAAGTTACATCGCTGCATGCAGTAGTTGTCTCTACGATGCTTTATGGCTGTGAGGCATCGATACTTAATAAGAAGTTAGAGAATAGAATTGAGGCATTTGAAATGTGCTGCTTTAGGAGGCTGCTTCACATCTTGTACACAGAGCACCAGCCCAATGAGTCCATCAAGCAGCAAATTAGTCAAGAAATTGGAACCTACGAACCATAGTTGGAGGTTGTGCAACAGAGGAAGCTGCAGTGGTTTGAACACATCACGAGAAGACTGGACACCCTTGCCAACACCATAATGCAGGACACAGCAATGGGAAAGAGAAAAAGAGGCAGACCCAACAAGAGCTGGGGAACCAATATTAAGGACTGGATTGGGCTTCAACTGGCAGAGTGTACAAAGCTAGCCAAACACAGGGCAGAGTGAAGGAGGGTTGTTACAGCATCTAAAGTGCCCTAGTGGTCGCAGTGGCCTCAGGGCTGACTTGACTTGAGCTTGATTACCCTCAGGGGAATACTTGCAGTATGTTCTGCCCTTTTCTAGCACTGAATGCTGGAACTCTAAGACACTAGCAGCTTAGAAACTGAGCAGGAGTTCTTAAGGCTAGGGGGGAAGCTGTACAGCACAGTACAGAGGAAGCTCCATGGGGTTTTTGAACCTTGCTTGCTAGAAAATGCCAAAATTGTAATTTCCTGTTTACATGCTATGTTCTGGGAACAGCAACCCTGCTGTATGTTGTTTGCAAGGCAGATGTGGGCAGATGTGCATGAAAATGAAGCCACAATAGGGCCTTGGAATGAAATTATTAAGAAAGAGAGAGGGGCTAATTTCCAAGATTCAGTTTAGACATGAGGTATGACTGCATTGCCAGAAATTTCTCCATCAGTATTCAGGGCCCTTTGAATGTTATGTTTTATATTTACTTCTTGGCCAGCCCTGATGGAAGTTTCTAGCTAGCAAACAATGGATTTAATTCTTCTAAACTGGTATTTTGTCCAAGCTCTACGCCATAGGCAGAGTCTTAAATAAGGTAGGAAAGTAACAGAGACGTATTAACAAGATTTTTTTTTATTTCAGTGCGCCAGCGACTGGCTTAGCACAGCCAGGCTGAAGAAGTGCTTGGTTCAAATAAGGTTATGAAATAGAGAAAGGAGTAGTTCTTTTGGACAATGTTTAGATGCTTACCAAGTTGGTCAAGACCATGCATTGCCAACAGATCTAAGTGTAGATATGAGAATGCACAGTGGAAGTGCGCATATGAGAAACAATATGCTGTGCACATAAGTGAAGTGCATTTTGCTTTACTGAGATTTAGCTATTCATCTAAAAGGCTTCGAGTTTGCACTGAGTCCTGGGGATGACAGAGCATGAGGATTTCTTGTCTTTCCATTTGTAATCTTAACAGTACATTCATCTCTTTCACAGACATGACATGCATATTGGAATGGACTGTGCCCACCTGCATGCTGGCATGGTGCAAAATATCTGGGAGTTCTTTGCAGACTTTTGTTTCTTAAGTTAGGGGCAGACATTACACATAAAACAATTTAAGTGATCAGAAACTGGTTTAAACCTGTAACAAAACAGATGTTCAGTGCGCATAAACCAGTTTGAAAAAGGCTGAAACCAGTTTGAGATAAACCTGGTTGAATGTAGTATCAGACTCAACTGATTTGGGTCAAACCACTTTATGCAATGGCTGTCCCAGACCCCTTGCTGATTTAAGTTAAAGCTGACTCCCAGCATGCTCTCTGGGCTGGGTGGGGCTCTCTGTTCCACAGCAGAGCTGTCCCCTCCCCTCTGCTCCCTGGCTGGAGCTCAAGCAGAAACTGCAGGCATCTGCCTGCTCCCCACCACTCCCCTTCACATCCCCTCTGCCTTACAGACACCTTTCAGCATTAGCTAGCAGACCACATGCTGGCTATGGTCCATAGTGTGGTAGACAGGACAAAGGGAAAATCAACAGGTAGCTGGTAATGTTCCTCTGTTTTCTTAATGGAGTAATAAACACTGATTTGGGGGTAATAAACACTGTTATCAGTTCCCTGCTAGGCTGGTCAGGTGGGAGAGGGGAATCCTTCACTAATCAAAGTGTCCTGCTGGGGCCTGGCCACACCCCCCAGGTCAGGACTGGAAGGAAAGGGAGGGCTGCTCTAGCATCCTCTGACTTCTAGCCTGAGCCACTGCAGGCATGTGCCTGCATGTCTGGGATGTCTGTACAGTTACAAAGTGATTTAGCCTAGCCAGGTTAGACTAACCTGCAAAGATTTAATCAATTCAGGCTCTGGATTTTTGAATGTCTGTGCCTAGACTTAGACAGTGCTCCATACTGTCTGGTGGTTGTAGTCAGCCTGATATAGTCACTGGAAGATATTTATTTAGTAACTTTGCATTGTGTGAATCCCTTCCTTTTGCCCTAAATCCAGAGCTTCTTGACAAAACAGCAAGAGTGGGGGCTGAGGTTTAATGTTAAATGGGAGATTTCAGAAGGAAATAAGGTTTTTCATTTAAAATGTAATGAGTTAGGCTATCCAAAGCAGAGCAGAAAGGACAATTTTAACCTGTTTCAACTATATATAATAGTTGAACCATTACATTATTAATAAAATGAATTATTAATTTAAAATAAAATATTTGACACGATTAAATTAATAATAATGTATGCATTGTTAATTATATTATGTTATTCATATTATATATAAACCCTCTGAAAGTTTAAAAATCCCAGATTCATTGGAGAATTACTACTTCTATCCAGCAGCTGGTGTCCATTCAGCTCAGTCCTATATCTCCCCTCACTCCCTCCCTGCTGCCAGAGGAGCCAGCCTGCAGTGCTTCACACATTCTGTTTTTAACAGGTGTGAGGGAGAGAGCGCTAGCAAAGTAGTGGGGATATCCTGTCCCTTTGAAAGTGTTCCATGAGAAAGAGCTGAATAGTTTCATCCCCATCCTTTTGGCACCCACTATACACACGCTGTCCTGCTGTCTAACATTAGGGTTGTTTCCTTGGCCTTTGGTCCTTGAAAACCTTTTTAACCCAGCAATGTGAATTACAGTAATCTGCTCTCCTCTCCCCCTCAATTCCTCACCAGGGCCAAATCCCCACCCACCAGCTCTGTGAGCACAGAAGTTTCTAAGTACACAGGAGCCACTGTGGTTGATTGCCAAGAAATAGAGGGAAAGCCTAGGGAAGCCAGGAAGGAGGACTCCCCATCCCCAATTTCTCCCCGTCCACTTGCATTGTAAGTCATCTGTAGCTATGGCAATGTGGACACTAGAGACCAGTTTGGACATAAGGGGTGTGGCCATTGCGTTCCCTGTTACATAGGTTTTTTGGCTACAACTCTGCTGCGTGAGTAGACAGGATGCAACAGCTGTGGAACAGCTGTTGTAATGCTCTTGTCCTGGGGGAGGGGAAAGACCCTTCAACCCAGGCAGAGATCCCATATTTATTTGAGTATAAGTATCAGGGCAGTATATATTATTGGGAGCAGCAATATTAAAAAAAACAGAGCACGCTGAAGAGAGAGGCTGTAAAAAGACATGGACTTGATCTGTCAATCCTTTGGGGCAAGGGGTCACCACTACAGGTATTTTTATAACCCCTTGCAGAGTGGGGCCAGTGTGTGCCACTAGCCTCTGAACAGATAGCAATGGCAATAAGTGACCCTCTGAAGGTTGTTGAAGCAGCAATGCGATTCCTTTAAAAGAAAAAAAAAAACCACCTTTTCAGCTGCCAGAGATTAATCCAAGCTTGAAACACAATGTTATCCCCCACCTCCCTTCTTTGGGGAGACATTGGGTCCTTTGTAGGTTGGACTTCCCAGTTAGATCCTGCCTCTTTACTATGTGACGCCACAACTCTGCATGTGAATTCTCCTGGGTGTTAGATGAATCCATTTGGTTTTTGTGACTTAGTGCCCCTCTCAGTATGCTCCATGTCTGAATAAAGTTCTGATTTTAGAAGAGTCCTTTTTCTTCCCAGCATAGCTGCTTGTGCTGCTTTTCTACTGCTCTCCCCTAGCATTTGTGGGACGCTGCTTCCAAAATGCCTCCTTGAACTTATACATTTTGTTGTCTTCATTTTCAGGGTGAGCCTGGCCCTCAGGGTGACCAAGGACGAGAAGGACCTCTTGGACCATCTGGAGATCCGGTAAGAACTTGGCTAATTGATCCAGAATCTTGCTAGAATTGAGAAGGAAGGGAAATGGGGAGTCTGTCAGATAAATAACATGTGGGGATATGGATAAAATGGGTGTGCTCCCAGCCTTCTGATCTGAAAAGACAGATCTGAGTTTAGGGGTAGTAGAAATGGTGCATACAGGAATCCATGACATGAACACACCTAGAAAATGGAGACTTGGCTAGCTGTTTAGGACTGAAAAAATTCCACATCATTTCCTCATCCCCCATAGAAAAAGATGCCAGCAAGTCTGTCAGAGAGATTTGGAAACCTACAAATATGAACTGCAGCAATGTACAGAATTTTAAGGCCTGGGTCAGATCCAGCTCTTCAAGTCATGTGAGTTAGGGAGACTGCACTTCTGAGGAAGTCTCCACCCCTCTCCGGCATTGGCATTGACAGCTCTTGCATCTGCGAATGTCCTGTTCTAATTCAGGCTCTACTTAAGGTCTCATTTCTGCAATAGCCCTGACTTCCTAAAGTCACTTCGTAAGAATTTTGCCCACAAATTCTAGTGCTGCTTCCGTGCCTGAGTGAAATCCAGTGGAAAACGAGCCAGAGTGCAAACAGTCTTGTTGATGCTCTGAGTGTTTTTATTGTTTTATCATCTGCTCAGCATTAGAACAGACCTTCCCATGAGTCCTCTCTGCCCCTGCCCATCTTTCCCTTCCAGCCAGGACCCTCCTTGCATGCACCATCCATCGTCCCTTGAACCCAGCTCCAAGCCAAATGTTTCCAGCCCGCCATAGAGCATCACTCCTCTGCTTTATTAAATCCTCTGCACTTAAGAGTGGAGCTGTTGGCAGTGACTCACTTTTGGTTCCTTGTCAAATCTCTTAAGACCCAGCACACTCTCCAACTTTAATCTCTTATAGCTGTAATATTGAGCACAGCTGCAATAAACTGTTTTTGCTTGTCAGCTGAGCTGCCAGAACAAAGGCAAAACAGCCGCTAGAACAAAAACCTGCTAGACCGTCAGCCCTGAGACCAGGGTCTTCCTGCCCAAATAATAGGGAGAGGTAACTTTTGACAGGGCCCAAGATAGAACCAAGCATTGTTATAAAAATTCCCAGCTGCTGGAAAGTGGCCCATAACAGCAGTGGCTTTGATTCTCCCCTATGTCAGGACAGCATCAGAGTATGTGTACAAAGCCCTATAATGCAGACATCAGAGACAATGATATTAAACACTCCAAATCTGCCTTCACACAACTCGCAGCTTAATCCAGGGCAGCAGCACAGAAAGGTGAAGCTCTGGGGAAGGAGTCCGGTCTGGTTTATAATGCTCTGTGGGTGCCATTGTTCATCAGAACCAGTATGCAGATACCTTGGACTGACAGCTGAATCCATTTGGCAGAGTGGATGGTGCTGAGCCAGACCCTTCTGTCTTTAGACGAGTAAAGCTTCTGCAGCAACATGAGGCCCTTTGACAGTTCAACACCAGAGTGGCTGCCTCTCTTCTGCCATTTGTTTGGAAAGAGTGTGGCTGCTTGGGACCGTTCTGTGGTAAAAAACTCAGTTCTTTCCCAAGGGCATTCATGCTATTTGCCTTATGCTGACTGGGGGCCTCTTCCCAAAGTCTTTCCAAGAGTAGTCATTTTAAAGGGCTCTGAAATGCAGGTCTCGGCCCATACTTTCCTCTGCAGCCATCCACCCTGGAGCAGGAGAGCTAATCTTGTCCCTTGCAGGCATCTTCTTGTCCCTTGCAGGCATCTTCTCCCATCTCCACCAAAACTTTGCCATACAAATCTGAACTTGGCCAGAAGGGTAATGCTTCATCAGGGATGTCCCTACTCTAATTCCAGTACAGTAAAGGAGGAAGAAGGCCTTTCTTTTAGGTTCTGGGATATGTGGTTTAAGGTGTTGAGAGGACACTGAGTGAGAGACGGCAAGTGCAGGGCTTGGAAGGTGTAGGGCATATCTCTGCCAGTTGTTAGGGGAAGGTTTTAACCATGAGAAAGGACATCCAGAACCCTAGGGCTACAGGCAGGAATATTTCTGAGAAGAAAAATGGTAAAAACAAGTAGCAGGACAGACCCAAATTATGGGAATATAGAATCTGGGAAAGAACATGACACCAGGGACCTGAAGAAGTGATAAAATGAGAGAAATGGCTCCTGGGAAACAAAGAGCAGGCTACAGGTAGCTTTGTGTGGCTGTCATTAATTGCTTAATCTGGTAGGTGCAATCGTGTATAGCACTGACTCCCTGCCTCAAGGTGTCTACTATAGTGCCATCCTCACTTCATCTGAACCAGGCTGCTGAACAAAGGTTTGTGTCAGCTCTGCATAGACCTTATTAGAAAACTGCCTGTTATAATGCATTAATTAGGCTGTTAAAGGGAGACAAGCACAGGCACTTGAACTGAAAGACAGCTTGGAGCACCGCTTCACTTCTGAAATCTGCAAGTGCTAGGGGGAGGTGGAGACGTCATCACAGACATACACAGGAAAACATTTTTCTTGTTCCTTGCTGTGAGGATTGGGGGTGCATTGCAAGCCTTCACCCCTATCAACTGCAGCACAACCTATCCATTCAAAGTCATTCAATTTTCAGTGTGAACACAGGCACATGCATACCTTGTCATCACTAGCACAGCATCTCTGGAGTTTGGTTTTTTTCCCTCTTGTTCTTCCTTTTATTTGCTTATAGCCCTAATATATGCCTGGTTTTTTTTCTGTGTTGACCCAGAAGCACACCAGATTCTCATTCTGTTTTGTTATCTTAAAAATGTACATAGGTGTGGGAGGGGAGAAGGTACTGAGTATATACTGGATGCATGTCAAGGAAGTGACAGTGATGGTAACCACATCATTCTCCAGTTACACGGGCTGTGTGCTGTGGATAAAAAATATCCAGAGGATACTCACATGAGAGCACCAGATTTGATTTGTGCTTGAGGCCTGTTTATGGTTTAAACTAGGGATATAGACATTCAGGGAAATAATAAAATAAAATCCAATCTAAGCTTCAACCCAAAGCTCAAAACAAAGATTTTTAGATGGGTTCATTTCTAAAGCCTATTCAGCACCCAGGACAAAGTGGATTCTGTTTTCAGCAATTCGATTTGGCATTGCTTGGTAAAATTCAGGGAGCCAGCCTCTCTCAGCCAGTCACTACTTGTGGTGCAAGTTTTAGTACATGTGTTCTCCTTCCTGCCCCGGGATCCCATTGATTCTATCAGTTGTCTAACAGGATATGTTCTAACATTAGATCCGATTTCTCCCCAGCAATTTCTAGCAAAAATAGACAACAGAGCTCCAGTGAGATTTCATAAGCAATTGCATTTTAAGACCTAGTTTTTCCATAAGCTGAAGAAAAATGCTTCATTTTGGCCAAATTAAAAATAAAAGTGTAATCAATCTTGAAGGGAAGTAGTTTGGCAAATAAAAGTGTTTTTCAAGGCTTGTTATCTGCAAATTCTGGCTCATGGAACATATTTATTTTGGCTGGATGTCAGGGCTGCTGCTAATACATGACTCCATTTCACTTTCTTTCTGTTCATGAGAGAAGCTAGAGATCAGAGCATTCTTTCCTTGATCTCTTTGGCGGTTACTTCTAGCTGTAGTATATCACCTCCCTGTTGGACAGCACACAAAAGGGAAGTAGACAGGGAGGTACTAAGACTTCCTGCCCCCCAAAACCTGTTCTACAAACTCATCAATTTTCTGTAGCAATACTCATTCCATTGACTATAACAAGTCTGTAGAGGTGACATAGATAATGCAAGAACTGGACAATGTTCCAGAGAACATGAATGAGAACAGGGACAGTTTTCTGCTGCTGTTTCCAAGCTTTCCTTGCATTCATGTTACTGTAGTGTAAAGGAATGCAGCGATGTCCCTTTAAACAATGTATTAATACTCTAGTACAGGGGTGGACACTTATTTTGGCTGGAGGGCCACTTAATGAGTTTTGGAGATCTGTCAAGTAGGGCTGTGCGAAATTTCACCTGCTGTTTCAATTCAACACTGTTTCAACTCATTTTGAGCTCGAAACAGTGAAATCGAATTGAAACAAGGGGGTTTGAAACAGCCTCAAAACAAAATGAGGCTAGTCTAAACATTTCAAAAGTTTTGAAACGTTTCAAGTTTTGAAACAGCCAGCAGCCAGGTGGTAGGAGACAGGGGAGAACCCCCTACTATCGGGCTGGGGATGGGAAGTCAGCCCAGCTGGGCTGACTTCCCATCCCCCACTCTACATCAGGCTCTCAGCACATTTCAGGGTGCTCCTGCCCTTGCCCCTGGCCTTACCAGTCATGTAGATGTTGTTCCTGTACCCGCTGCCCAGGTGCTCAGAGAAGCGGTACATCA